TGCCCCCCCCCCCCCGTTGACAAGTATATTAGACCCAATAATCCATGGTTCTCTCTGCAAGTAATGGCTGCCAAATATTTGACCGATAACTTTTTTACATCTTATTTTTTAAAACCTATGACTGGGTATATCACCTATCATGAGCAAGATGTTCAAGGTCCAAACTTGGGAGGATCAGTAGGTGAAGTGGTTATCTCGTTTCTCCGTTGTACAACTAAAACTGACTTGTTAGGCTAGAAGTACATCTTGTCGGAAAAATAGCCATCTCTTATTTGTTTTGATTGTTCAGAGAGTGAAGGTCTATCGTCTAAACGAAGATGGTAAATGGGATGACCGAGGAACTGGACACGTCACTATCGACTATATGGAGGTTTGTAGTAATTTTCACCTGGTTTCGTGATTTTCTCCTGATCCCTGAACTTTCAGCACTCACTCTGAATTAAACTTCTCAAGTCTCTGATGGCTTAATTATTAAGTGGAAATGCTATACAATGCAGCGAACAGAAGAATTGGGTTTATATGTGATTGATGAAGAAGACAATGAAACACTAATTGTGCACCACATCAGCCCTGAGGACATCTACAGGAAGCAAGAAGGTACGCTTTGTGCATTATGGTTGGAATTTAGCTGTGGTATCTTCAATAGTCTGCTGTTTCTTTTTCTCTAGATAAGTGTTTATCTGTTTCAATGCACAGACACAATTATCTCATGGAGAGACCCAGAGCGCTCAACAGATATGGCATTGAGCTTTCAAGAGACGGCCGGATGCTCTTATATTTGGTGAATGATGGGAATTTTCATGATGTCTTCTTTTTTCCATTCTCAATTTCTGCTGTTCACTTCCTGACTGCTAAACCAGCTTTTCTGTCATATCCAGGGACCAAATCTGTACTATACAACGAAATATGCATTTCAACTCTCTTAACAGTAAGTTTTTCTCCCTGGAAAATTATAATTATTGAATAATCTATTTGCCTTTCTTTCTGATAATCTTCTTTAATCTGGTAAATTCTTGTTCTATTCTGCTCCCGTTTCATGTGTGATTGAATTGGAATTTGGCATTTTAATTTGCTGCTATAGCAATAAGAATGTTTTGCTAAAAAATCGTTTCTATGGCCATTTGTGCTTCAGAGTTCAGAATATATGAATGAAAACTGTTGCAGCACTTACATAGTTATTGAAACTTTTTTGTCATTGTTAGATGCTTGGCTCTTTTACTTGTATACTTTTTAATCTGTAACGAATTTCGTATTTGACAACATTACCATCTGTGATCAAGCAGGCGAAACATTTCACAGCCTGAACAGTGAGTTGAGAGAGCTTCCTGCAGTGGAGCTTCCTACTCTTCCTCTAATACTCAAGGTTTCAAGATTCTATTGCCTTACGCTTTCATAATGTTGTGATTTATTTTGATGATTTCCCCATTGTTGTCATTTGTCTCGTCTCATTTGTGGTTAAAATTGCAATGTAGCAATCTCAGTAGTAATATTTTATGTAGGGGATTGCAACATTACATATAAATTCTTTCCTCTTGTCTTGGCTGTTTTCCGTTGCATTTTCAACTTCCTCCTCTCCCTTCTCCACCATCTGAATGATTTCTTGTTTGTCAAATCTTCATATGTTCACTTGTACATCAGAGATCTACAGGCTCTTTTATCTCCAAATATTTATCTTTTTGGTGTGCATCTGTTTTAGCACATCAGTAGATGGAAGTTTTCTTGTCAACTTTATTTCTTTTCTTTTTTTTATTTCTTTCTTGGTTTTCTGTTTTTAAAATAATTTATTACAATGTCCTCTGCAGATTGTGACTGAGAGTGGCATTGCAGATCAAATGCGGCTAACTGAGCTAATTTTGAAGGATGTAAGTGTGTGATATTTTTCAACGGTCTGCTAATTTTGTTTGTATAAAAAACAGGTGTTCTTGTCCTTCACAATTTTGTTCTAGTCTGACACCCATGTTTGCTCTCTTGAGGGAAAATCTTGTTACAGCTCCATTTTTTTACTCAGTAATTTCCTTTTGTTTTCCTCTGATTCAAAGTTTGTGCATGTGCACAATGCATTTTGGCTATGGAATGGATTCAGTTAATTTATGGGCCAGAGATAACGGAAAAGTGTTCAAATGCATTTTTGGCTGGAATAGTAATTGTTCATCCATCAGTTATTTATTCTTATGTATATTGTCCCGAGGAGTAGATCCTATAAACCTCCTCAATCTACGTTCTTGCTTTGATGCAGGATGGTTTCTTCCGGAGACTGATGAATGTATTCAAAATATGTGAGGACTTGGAAAATGTTGATGGCCTTCACATGATATTCAATATAGTCAGAGGAATCAGTTAGTATTCACATTTCTCTATTTAAATTTCTTCATCCTTAAATATTTCAGAACGGTTATGTAATATCAACATTTTTTGTTTTTTATATGCAGTTTTGCTCAATAGTTCTCAGATCTTTGAGAAAATCTTTGGGGATGAACTAATAATGGAAATTATTGGGTGTCTTGAGTGTAAGTATCTTGTCACTGGTCAAACTTTAAAGATCTTTTTTGAAAACCAGTGAGGGGAATGAGATTCGGAACATAATTATCGGTTATTTAGTCGTATTTCTCTAGAAACTCTTTTAGTTACTGTGAAAATATCGCAGCAGGGAATCTACTTATTATTCATTTAGTGCCATGAAACTCATCTGTCTCTGTCGAGAATGTCTGTTGCCCAAACGATCAGATGGACTGTTCCTTTCAGGTCTCTCTGAAACCTTGTTGGTATTTGATTTTTTTTTTCATTAAGTGTATAGTTTGTGCTTAACGTTTGTGTTCTCATTATCTAGGGTGTGCTTGTATAATGTGAAAGTTATTGCCGATGTTTTTCATTCTTGTGTAGGCCAATACTTAATAATTAATATTTGATACTGTGGTTTCTGTGTTTTGCTTTTTTCTTCTTACAGATGATCCTGATGTTTCTCAGTCGCAACATCACCGGAATTTTCTGAAAGAGCACGTTGTTTTTAAGGAGGTAATACTATGTTCCCTTTTTCTATATTCCATGTTGCTTAGTACCAGTCAAGAAGCATAGATTAGGAAATGCAAGAGGCATATGGTATTATGGTTCTGATAAGAAGAGAAGATGCTT